AGGACTCGGCGACGAAATCTCTCTCCCAAAACGAATCCCACCCTCCTTTATATGGCTGCTGTAATAAAGTCACAAGGACCTACTCTTCACTGTCCTTGTCCGGTCCATCGCATTTCTTGAACAGCGTTGATGTCAGCCCTTACTTTTCCGTGGACATCAACCACCTGGACATGGGAACCTTCCCAATTTAGATACCGGCCATTCCAAGTGCATTCCCTTAAATCATTGTTCTTAATACGTTTGCTAGGGTCGTCAAAAAAAGTGGGGTCTTTCCTCCAAGGCTGTTTCTTTTGCATTGGGTTTGATTTCTACGTGGCGGTTTCCAAACCCAGTGCACAACTTCGCTTAGCATGTAGTATAAAATTCCATTCACATTTATATAGCAAGCCGCTAGTTGCAAGACCAACGGCCACTCACAGTCGCACCTCTGGTGAACAGACGCTGCAATTAGACTTCAGTGAACCCTTAAACCGAATATGTCGTAGTGGCCCGCCTGTAGCTTTCTCTGTTTTAACTGACACCAGGCTCTACACATAGTTTCCAATTTCAATATTTGAAATTCTATTCACGCCCTCAAAATATTCTGGCTGGAAACTGAGTCGTAAATATAAAATTCTGTTTAGCGGTCGTGCTCTGCCACAAAGCAATTCGGAGTTCTATTCCACAAGTCAAACCGTCTGATGAACTTTCTTGCTCATTCTGATTTCGAGATTATTCCACAGGTTCAGAATTCAAAAGCTATTCGTGGACATCCCGCACGGACGCACAGATGCAACATCCCAGCCATCTACAGTCTTAACGTGTTGTATTATATTTTGCGTTATATATTGAATTTAACAGACAGAAGGAAAGCTTCAATGAAATGAATCGACATGGTTTAGTATTGCTAAATATATTCTTAGTTATTATTTTTTTTTACTTTAAAATAGCAGCTCATTTCAATAATTGCTTCACTGAGATATTAATAAAATGAAATTGTTAAAAATTCTAGGATAAAACAAAAAATTATTTTATTTATTTATAAAAATATATTTACAAAAAATTAGTATTCTCACATTATTTGAGCGAATAATTTTAACGAAACGAAATAGCGTGGGAGCAGTCAAATTTCATGACAGTTACTGAAACTCTCCAAAGCATGGAGAGATTGAAAGTGGAATAAGGCTGGAAAGAATAGCGCACGTCGAGGCGCCCTAAGAAATCAGCAACGCCTGGAAATTAACTCTTTTATATTTCGGCAAATGAAACGTCAATGTTATTACATTAACATAATTTCCACTATAAAAAATGAAAGTCGTTTGACATCGTTTGTAAAAATGCTAACACGACGAACACTGCATACGAGTATATTGAATTAGACACAACACAAAACTGCCAGGGGTGACCCCCTGGTGAGAGAGAAGATGAAAAAAGGAACAGAGTTGGGAAGCAGTAAGCCGGGTTCTACAAAGGGTCGGAGGCCAGAGGTTGTGTGAGTGCTTCGGCGCTGGCTGGCTGACTGGCAGTGGATTACGTGATCGGAAATTTTATATTTTCTTAACTCACATGCAACCCTGCATATTCTTGTATATATATTGTATGAGGGGTATTTGTCTAAAATCAAAAGCATAAGTAGAAAACAACGGAATAAACAAATGAACGCATACGAGTAGAAGTACAGAAATTATAAGGATTAACAGAAGAAAAAGAGAGAAAGGCAGAACAGAATTCTAAATAAGAGGTGAGTAAACAAATGGAGCGGCAAGTGAGCTAATAACGACAAGTGAAAGAAAGGGAAATGGAAGCGAGTGAAGGTAATACACAACAAAAAAGTGACGAACAGTTTAAAAATAGCGCCGAATAAGTGGGCATAACGGTAGCATTATCTGCGCAACCGGATAACCGAATGGTGAGAGGAGCTCTGTGGAGGCGATGCGAAGGCTGTTTGATCCAAAGAAATACGTGTCAAAAAGAAATGAAAATAAATGCAAACAAATGAAAGAAAAATAGACGAACAGTGCGTGACTTAGCAGCGTAAGCGTACGAGGGCTACTCGAGTAGTCACTTAAATTTCTAGTGACCATGGAAGTTACTAAGGCGTAGGGTTGATGAAAGACCGGCAAAAGCTTCTACTTCTAGGAAAAAAGTGAGCCTATTCATATTGTAAGGTTCGGAGCTGCCCTCAAGATCACACCTTCAAAATTGGAAAATTGGATTCGTCGTAAAGTAGATCAATCTAATTACTAGTGGGCCCAGCTATTCATAGAAAGTGCTGTTATGACTAAGCTCAGCATTAATTAGGTCAAAGTATTCGAGGCTTCTGGAGTATCTAAGCTTATAATTTACTAGATGCTTCACTTCTCCATGGAATTATGACTATAGCTCACATGATTTTTCTGTACACAGTCTTTATTTACTTTTTTCTATGTATGCGATGTAGTTCGGTTAACACTTTTTTTGAAAAAAATCAATAATTTTGACACGAACATCTTCGACTACTGTCGTAAATTAAGGAAATTCTATAAATAAGAAAGAAAAAATCATCTACAAATACGATATGCTAATTTAAGTTGTATAAGAAACTCATAAAATTACGATTAAAAGTAGAAATAACAAAAAAAAAAACGCACGACTTAAACGTTCAGAATTGGTGTACTTTCAGTGATTGATAAGCTGTACATAAGTAATGAGACTCCGTGGTATGCATTTTTCTCTCTGAGGAACTTGTGTTTTCTTTTGTGCGTGGTGGGCGTGTAACCGTGAATCGCTACTTGTAGAATTTTAAGAATGAATATTCCACCGTTTTCGCATACAAATTAGAGCAGAGTTCATTTTAATGAAAAAACCGAGAGACAACAAATAATGGAAGCAGTAAACGTTTTGTACCTGGAGAAAGCGCACATTGCTGAATTGGAGGCGGGTGGTGCTTTTGGGAACAGCGAGAATCGGGGCAACCAGCTCGGAATGAACATTACTTAGCACGATTTCAGTATGGGCAAGAAGGATTCATAATAACGGATCTACCTCGACAGATGACCACTATTTTGATTATATACTTATGTAGTCCAAACATTCATCATAAGCTTTCTCATAGTACCCTGGTCCCTCTCCCTTACAATAAAACAAACAAATATTTCATATGTTGTCTTTCATGCTTAAGGTTTCTTAACAAAAAAAAAAAAAAAAAAAAAAAAAAAAAAAAAAAAAAAAAATCAACATATGCCATATATAATTCGTATAACTGCACAAAAGTGTTTTTCTGATCGTTCTTCAATACACAGCAACAAGAATTCAATTTGTAAAAAGTAAAAAATCATAAAACAAAAGAATTATTTTCGTACTCGAGCACATGCTTACCCCTACTAACTCCCACCTCTTGAACACACAGCTCAATCTAAAACTCTTTTCAAATCGAAAAAATCCTACAACAAAAAAACCAGACTTTTATGCGTATATATAGTATGACACGCATGCGCAGATAATAAAAACCGGCAGCAGCAACAACAACAGCAAACAAGTTGCGTTATTTATGAGCTCAACCGAGCTTCGTTTGTAGACTTGTTTAACTACAAGGGATTCCGACAAGGCTTGGTCGCTGTTTTCCTGTGTTTTTGATGCAACCATTACACTTGAGATGCCGCTTGCAACAACAGCAAAAACTATTGCAGTGACAGTGTCACCCAATTCAATATCGACATTTTCCGACATTTTACGACTCCCCAAAACATTGTTGCCCATTTTGACAGCAATTCAGGGCATAAGGAATGCACTCTACGGTTCCACCAGTTGTTTTTGTTGTTGTTATTTTTTATAAGTCATTCAGTCGGACAGTGCGAGTACGTAACTTTAAGTAGTGCGAGTCAGTCGGATCTCAGCAAGGAATTACTGGCGGTAACTGATTGTACCTAATGATATGTTTTTGTTATTATCACGAACATCTATACATATACATATGTATGTGTGTGTTATATTTCTTTAGCGGCATTCTTTTGTCTTCTCATGTGTTGAATACAATGCTCGCGACAGACTGCAAACGACATCTGTCAAATATTACATTACACACGTTCTTATGATCGGACCTATTTTGATAGCTGCACGACTACACGACGGCTGGCCGACAGTTGTCGCTCTCGCTAACTTCAATTTTATCCTATATTTGCCAACGACAGTAGGACGACAGTAGAGTTGACAGTAGAATGGAAGACAGAGAGATGAGGTAGAGTGATGATGCCACTAATATAAAAAATGTAAAATTATTCACAGCTCTAACAAACTTGATGTTATTTTATAGAAAAAAGCATAAAATAGCTCTGTTACATCATTTGTAATAACAATTGATAATTTAAAACAAATAAATTTACCTATTTACTTATTTTTTGCTTAAAAATTTCACTTTGAACAAAATATTAAAATTTCATTGAAGTGCAAGGTATTAGTATGGCCACAACGGAATTTTGTACATGCAAAATGAACAACTGAGTTGTTTTGTGTACATGCCGGCCATTCTTATGTTGCTGCCCTCTCACAAACGTTCTTGTAGTAGGATTCACAACGCCATTTTCAGTTCACTGTCGTGCTGCTGCAGTCTGTCGCTAGCATTGTGTTCCACACATCACATGTCTCATGCGCTTGACTTTTTAGTCGCGCTTTGGCAGCGATTGAAAATGAATTTTATGCTTATTTTAAATGCTGCTGAGCCACTCAGACGCACTACTTAGTGTGTGGATGTGTATGCGATTGTGTTGGGAGAGTCAATAAAAAAGTAATAAAATTTTTCTAGCATAACAAAAGCGGCAAATGACCGCAGTTGAGCCGAAAATGTGAGGGAAATGGAGGCACAAAAGAATATGATTACAATGTAGACGCAAAGGTATTGCGAAGAGAAAAGAAAGAGAAAGAAGTGGGAAACAATTTTATCCCATATTTGTTTGCATATTTCTTGCAAACACTGAGTGCGACTTGAGTGCATTTTTTGCATGCGAATAATTTTTAAAGTATAAATAATAGAAACAGCTGACAGTTTGGGGTGCTAAGTGGCCGGGTTTTTTTTGGGTAGGAGATAAATTCTATAAATCACAATATTCCCTCTGAAATAAATACAGTTTTAGTGTCTAGGTAAGAATTAGTACATGAGTTAAGAGACTATCGAAGTCTGAAGTTATCCGCGGGTTATTTGACTTGAAGCGCGTCGTAGATTCACCAAACGGTTTATCACATATGTTAGATAGGTTATTGCATTTAAGTCCACATTTTATCCAAGCTCAATACCCATATGTTCACAATAATCGGGTTACGATGAGGTACAAGGCATAGTCTCTCAAAACGAAGAGAGGACAAATTTAAATCATGGAAATCAATCGGCAAGGTATGTAAGTGCATATTGTAAAAAGAAAATGTGTGTATATTTGTCTATTGTGTATTCATACTTCCATATTCATACTCCCATATAAATTAACAAATATTTGTGTTCCGTGAAGTAGAACTTCTTGGCTTCCGCTGCCTTCTGCTCAAAACCTGTTCCAGATGTATTGTGATTATGTCTTCTTAAATGTATTATACAAATTATTTGCTCATTTTTGCTTGTTTCTTCGAAAATTGTTTTTTTTTTTTTAAGGAAAATATGAATACTCGCATGAGGAATTGCTGCAAATATGGGAGTCAAATGATCGAAAAGATGACAGTATTTTGAACTAAATTTATAAAAAAATTAATGGAGACACGTTAAAAGAAGACAAAAATAAAGAAATAAAAAAGAAAGTTGAAAATTTTTGTAGCTTTATTAGAAAGAATTTACCAAATTGCAACAGACTGTTGAGCAGATTCAAAGAAAAAAATGGCTTGCGTCGAAAATGACATTGGTAGTTGAAAACAAAGATTGGAAGAGTGCTTCTGCCAGCAAACTAGGACGTCCACATTTAAATTATGATGAAGGTAGTCAACGTTTGAAAGAAAATTGGCCTTTGAACTATCAACAGAGTGGGAGCACAACACCCAACTTCTTGTTCATGCTGCTGCAGTTTCAGCAAAAAATCAAATAAAAGCGGCATGGCGTGTTTTAAAGGAATGCTCATCATCATCTTCAAGAGCAAGTATATTAGGAAAAAACTTCGCTACAATGAACCACTTCATGATGAAGCGTTCACTTTCTTATTGGAAAATTCGTTTAGTAAACAGCAGTACCTAACATTAGATTGTTAAATAAAAATCGACATTCCAACATATATCCAAGCTATCATACTGTGTATGAGGTGAAATTAAAATGCAGACCGATTGGCATAACTGTTTCGGAAACTAAAAGAAATTTGAAGGAGATGCACCAGAATCGTTGTATGAATCTTTATTTGTAACAACTTTAAAACCGATAAAATTAATTGATTCTTCAGACAGAGTAATTTGGTGTAATCGAACTCCACAATTCGTAAGATTTTGCAGGCCAATTAAAATCGAATTCATCAAAGAAACTAAAAATCAAATATTAGCGGAGAAAGCAAATTTGGATTCACAAATTAAGAGTTTGACACTTCTCGAATACAACCTTAATGGTGGATACATCACTGTAAGCTATGATCTGCATATGACGTTAATAGATGGTAAGGTGTTAAATGTATTAACTGGTACAAATTCTAATCAGTGTTGTCCAGTATGTGGTGCGAAACCAAAAGACGTTTTAGCAACGAAGGATTTGAAATCCAGCGTTTTCAAGAAAAAGCCTGGAGCACTTCAATATGGTGTAAGTCCTTCGCATGCGTGCATTAGATTCCTGGAATTTGTATTAAAAATCTCATATAGAACTGACATAGAAAAGTGACAGGTTAGGGATGCAATAGATAAACTAAGTATGAGAACTAGAAAACAGAAAATTCAAAAACATTTGTGGAAAGAAATGGGGCTACATGTTGATAAACCAAAACAGAATGGCTGTGGAAGCACAAATGATGGAAATACGGCGAGGAGAGCATTTACAAATACTTTTTTACCTTTGCATCAATTCTGGAGTTTGACATTGAAATTTTGAAGAATTTATATTTTATATTAATTTCAATTTCATGCGAATACCAAATAAATGCGGAAAAATTCGAAATTTTTGTAGCAAAACTGCTTTACTATATATGGAAAAGTACTCTTGGTTTCCTATGTCAGCAGCCGTCCACAAAATATTAGTCCATGGTTCAGAGATAATAAGAGCTTCAGTAGTTCCTGTCGGTTGTCTTGGAGAAAATGCGGCCGAGGCTCGAAATAAGTTCTATAAGAAGGATAGAAATGCACATGCCAGAAAAAGTAGCAGAGCATATAATTTGTCCGATGGTTTTCATAGATCTATGGATTCCTTAGATCCTGTTATATCAAGTTTGCACATCAACAAAAGAGAAAATAAATAAATTAAAACAAGAAAAAACTCTAACTTCGGCTGTACCGAAGCTAATATACCCTTCACAGGTGTATTTCGTTTAGTAACTTTGTGTTTAAGTAAATCTAAAGGCGTAACCGGCCAGTAGTTTTCATTCAAAGGAAACCATTTCACTAGTTATTTTTAGCCAGGTTGTTTGTTAGAAACATTAAGGTTATTTAATAAAGAAAATATATCCTTTAGACGTTTATGGTTATCTAAAATTTTAAGAAAATTTATTAAAATAATTTACAAACTTATTATACCCTGTTCATCGTATATGGTAGAGGGGTTAACAGATCACTGTATAATTGGTAGACATGCCAGCAGACGCGGGTAAGTATTTTATTATGAGTAGCTACTTATTTTAAAAGTAATAATTACTTTGCCATTATGCGCTGTGCAATGCACAGAATCCAGAATTTACGAAGAAGTTGTTCTATGTGCATCTATGTATAAGATGACACCAGCGCTCATGGTTCAATGAGAAAACCATTGTTATGACACCGTTAAGCCGTGCGGCAGGACTTATAAATAGAGTTACCACGTGAGAAATGCTAGGTTATGTAACGCTTCAGTTAAAGTTTCCACTCACAAAGAGAAAATAACTTTTTAAAAATTTGGTACTTTTTTTGATCGGAAAGAAGTCTCACATTTTACCTGTTTTAAAAGTCATTTTCGTCAATCACGTCACAGGGCCAACATTAAAGCGCACATAAACAAGTATGTACATAAAGAACGATAACGATTTAGTCAATTGAAATCATTGGCAGCGACCAATTTATTGCGGTATTATCAACTGATTAATTAATTAATAGAATGTACGCAGCTGGTGACAGAAAAATAATTTAAGCGATTTGTAGTAAAAAACAAACAATATCGATTATGGTGGCAAGTGAAGCGGTTGCAAGGCTTTAACTTAAATGAGCAACATTTTTGAGTGCCGTATAGTCGCACTATGTGCCTGTGAGTGTTTGTGTGGCGAAATTAAATTTGCGTTAAAACGAAGACTCTCAAAAGTCATAAACTTAATAGTTATTTTAATGTCTACTGCTACCAGTCTACAGCCAACTATACAAAAACGCACATACATAGAGGTGCGACCGAAATTGTTGTTAAATGTTCAATAGTCGCCCGCGCCACACTCAGCACCGCAAAGCGCTCGGTTACAGGGTGTTTCGCAAAAAATAAGCTGACAAATGTTTTCAGGTCGCTCAAGCGGAAATTGTTTCGATAATCTGCGAATCTTCGTTTACTTTTCGAGTTGAGTTATAACAAGAAAAAATGTTAACTTCTTCTGCACCGAACCTAATATACCCTTCACAGGTACATTTCTTTTAATAACTATGTGTAAATCTAAAGACGTAACTGGCCAGTGGTTTCCACTCAAAGGAAAACATTTGACTAATTCTTTTTAGCCGGGTTGTGCTTGAAACA